GCATGGCAGGATGCTGTAAAAGGACCAAACTTAAGCCAGGAGAACAACTGAGATAATCCATCCATAATACGAGGTTAGTCATTCATATACTGCTGCATGGGCTGGGCTGTAGTTACATCCTAAGGTTTTAAAAACTGAGCTTAAATAAATGATTAGCGGTAATAAACGCCGAGGGAGGTCAACAGTGATCGCTGACTGTTTTAGGAGCTTTTTGAGATTAAATAGAAGAAAATACATAATATTAAACATGTTAACAACACAAAAGCCATATTAAATGCAGACTACTTTAGGCCCGGAAGTAGGATTCGTCACGTCATCACTTAACGACCGGATTGAAAATCTGTGGGATGAACTAAAGACCAAGGCCCATCTTGGAACAACACCAAATTTGGAGGAAGTCGAGAGATTCACCAAAGAGAAATGGGCTCGTTGAGAACTACAAGTAACACCTGCAGTCGAATTCTGTCCTCATCTGTATGAGGATTGTTTCACCTGCACTTGCAGGACTATTTAATCACACAGGTAGTTTCATTTGTTAAGCTATGAAGAGGCCAATGAAAACACCGCAGTGTGTCAAAGGCTTCTCCATTTCCAGGAAAGGTTTCAGTGGGTAACTGAAAAACCTCAATATCGCCGCAGTGGTAGCGTTTCTGGATAAATCAATGTTTTTTAAAATGAAACAATTTTCACATACACAGTTTCGTTTTAGCGGTTGATTTTATTCGCCAGCATTTTTTTGGGTGGAAGCATGAATGTCACCTATAAATAAAACCAAACATGGTCCGTCACAACCGGAAAAAAATAAACAAAAAGATTATGGCTGCTGGTAAAATAAACTGTAAAGCAGAGTTCAGCGATAACTATTACAACACAGTTTTATGACATAAACAAAAGGCAAATACCACTGCTAATATAAAAAAATAAGCTTAAAGAGTCATTTTCATATTCACTCACATGTCTTTACTTTACTGCTGTCTTTTCTATTCTTTTTATTAGCAGCCATTGATTACCTGTCTTCTATCTATTCATCTTCTGCACTCATTCTGCTCAATATATGCATGTGTGTGTGTGTGTGTGTGTGTGTGTGTCTTGCTGTCTGTGACTTTCCAGCATGAAACATCCACCTACACTGGCATTACCTCACCAATCAATAGCCCTCCTTGTCCCCACCCTCGCCTCCTTCTCTGACCTTTTTTTTCTCCTCCTCCTCTTTGCATATTAGATCAGTGTTGGTCACTGTGCATTCCAGGTTACTGCATATAGTCAATCTCAAACACACACACACACACACACAAACACACACATATATATTTATGTACATGCACCTCACAATGAGTGATGACGTTACCACAAAGGCACAAATAGAGATGACAGAATGACTCATATCATTACACTCTGTTGTGTGTGTGTATTTGCGTTTCAGTGTGTGAGGGTGAGGTCACTGCAAGCCAATCAGAAAGCACCATCTTCATCAAGATATGAAATGTATACTAGTGCTCTACCCTCAGCCTCCATACACACACACACACACACATACACACACAAGCAAGCATACTCCTTTTAATGGCAGTTCCATTCACCAGCAGTGACAATTACAATGTCATTGCTCGAATATGCTTTTAACCGCAAACATATACCACAACCATTTAGGAGGAGAAGGATGAAAATAATTGTCTGAGAGTCGTCAGTGGATGTTTCAGGGTAATTGAATTTGTGCTTTGGCATCCACGGGGAAATGTTTACCCGAGGAGTTTTTCAAGGTTTTGCTTATCGAAGAGTAAACAATGCAAGCCTGGCACCACAGCAGACCGGCCACTTTGCTGTCTCTTTTTTGAGGTATATGCTTGCTTGAGTATGGATGTGTTCATCTTATGTAGTTGTAGCTTGAGCGAGCACATTTACTGCTACAAAAAGCCTAAAAGTGGCTATATACATTTAAATGTGAAGACATTAGAGGTAACACACAAAGTACTTTTTGGTCTGATACTAAGCACTAATTATCAGGCATGCAATTCTTATAGGGCCTACATTACAATATAAAGCGCCTTGATGTGACTGTTGTTCTGATTTGGTGCTGTATAAATAAAATTTAATTGAAATGAGTTGAATGCCTGTGAATTGAACCCATCCAGTTTATGAACGCAGCTTTAGCTCCAGAAACCGCAAGCAGTGCCATAATGATTATGGTACATGCATCTTTTGCATACAGTCTTCGTCTGTTCTCGAGTGCTATTGCTCAGTGCTTCTACTGTTGTGGTGGATGGATACGAAGAGACAGTTGAGCAGTCGGACGTTATCTGAAGACATCCTCCCCAGCAGGGATGAGCTGTTTTTAACTCATAAACATGACATGACATTTTAATATTTTTTTTGAAAGACGTGTTGAAGGAATATTTTGATTTCGGAAATAGGCTTTTTCATTTTTGAGTCTCGCCATCTCTGTGAGGTTTCCAGGCAACCAGTGGACATGCAGATTAAACAAACAGGATGTGCTGATTAGTGGGCTTTAGGGGTCTCTCAGCAGTGGCTTCATATTTACCGCACACACATGAGCCGTGTCAATCCTTTTATCTAACTCTAAGCAAGTGTGCAATTACCTAAAATGTCAAACTGCTCCTCTAACACTGTTTCTTACATTGCTGGGATAAAGCCATTGCAGTGCGTAGGCGATAATTAATTATTTAGTCCTGCCTGATGCTGTCTTATTTTGCTCTTGTTTTCGGTCATCACCGGGTCAAAAGATCTGAACTTAAACCAATTCCTCAGTTTCTGTTTCTGACTTTGGAATACTGCAAGTGTCTTCATCTTTCACAGGCAAAAAAAAGGGAAAAAAGCCAGCAGTTACAGTGATGTGTAGGAACATATAGATTGATGAGGACTTTTATACAAAGCCTTCCTTATCAGTATGCACATACCTGCAGAGTATGGCTCTTGCTTCTCGATAAATTCAAACTCGTTCCTTTCGTACTTGGCTCTGATCCACTGCTCTCTCAGCAGTCTGGAGACACGATAAAAACACACAGTTAGCTTTTATGTGAATTGCACACTCATCATCAATTGCTCTGATGTACACAAACTTAAAATGATTTCTTTCTTTGTCAGTTAGACGTACACACTGTTACTTTTTACTGCTCAGGAGTCTTACTTTGCTTACAGCATGACCTCATAGAAATGAAGACAGACATATTTAAACACAGTGACCTTGACCCTTGACTGCCAAAATCAAATTATTTCACACCTTGAAATGGATATTCTTTTTATGGAAAAAACAAAACAAAAATGCAGCTCTCCAAAGACCCAACAATAAGCTGTAGTATTATCAGGGTTTGTTTTTTATACTATTTTAGGTATAAACAATATGTATTTGAGATTTATAAGAACTAAAGACCAAACCTAAGGTGGAAACACACATTCACATCCATAGACTAATTCAACCCCTTACTAGAGCCAATATTAGGCATGTGCCAATAAATGTGAAGTGGCATTTAAAAAGTAAGGAAGAGGCAGAAGAAACACCCTTCAAAAATGTTATGAGTGTTGATGTTCCATAGTCTGTCCAGCAGAGGGCTCACTGCAACTTCATAAATGAGTAAATATGCACAAAGAAGTAAATAAATGACAACATATAACAAATGTTCAGGAAATCTGTTTGTACTTTGTTTCCTGAAAGAAGAAAAAATGTCTGTCTATTCATCAGAAAATAGGGCAGAGTTAGCTCAGTTTGCCCCGTGATCAGAAGGTTGGGGATTCAAATCCACCGAACGGCTACCCTGAGGTACCCCTGAGCAAGGTACTGTCTCTACACACTGGTCCATGGGTACTCGATTGGTGACTGCCCACTGTTTCACTGAGTGAATGGGTTAAATGCAGAGGACTAATTTCCTATGGGGTTAATAAAATGAAAAAAAAAAAAACAGTATCAGTATTGGCTTTAAAAAGTGCTTACGCAGTTCAAGGTTGCAGTAGTGGAGATATCACCAACACAACACAAGGTGAAAGCTGCAGCCACACTGGAAACGATGAGCTCGTTGTAAATCACTTTGAAGCCTACAACTGGTCACTTTTGGACATTCCAGGCTCCGGTTGTCTAGGTAACTCTTGTATTTACTGCCAGGTCAAATGTCAATCAATGGCTTTGTGTGCTTTCACTGGTAGTTGCTTCAAGCAGAGAACGGTTTATATCAGGTCCTGCTGGCTTCACACCGCCAGCAGTTATTTCACATATAATCATGTGAAGTGAATGTGATTGACTTTCTTCTATTGAATCGCTTTCATTGTGGACTCAAATTTACACAGAGAGGCATACAGGCTCACTCTCCCATTCACAATTACAATTTAGAATCACTACTTAACCTAATCAACACGTCTTCGGTCTGCAGGACAAAGCCAGAATATATAGAGGGAAATTACAAAGGAACAGCGACACCCTATTGTCCCCAGTTCTAAAGACCTTGGACATAGGGGTGGGTTTTGATAATTGATTTATCGATTAAAATCGATTCTGGCTTGGATAACGTGATATCGATTCATTAAAATCCTGAATCGATTTTTTAATATAAATTTATTTTGCCCAAAAACAGTGAATGAGAGCAGGTACACGGATTCTGCACATAAATGTAAACACAAGGCGCGGATCAGAATCAGTGAGATGTCACCTTTCTCACCCGATAGCACGGACACGGTCGGGGCTGAAAGCCGACAGCTCGCTGATTCTGATGTTTCGGCGGGTCCGCGCTTTGTGTT